TCATTTTCCTTCTGTTTTTATAATTCTTCAATATTCAAATTGTTTTACTCGCACATTCTTTCCTTCTTTAACGATTTTACTACCGAGTAATGACCTTATCATTTTTATCATTTTCATAGCTTTATATTTTTTTCTAATTAACAGTAATTAATTCAGTAGTTCCTATAGAACCCTTTTTTCGAATCTGCGATTATTGCTTGATTTTCAACAAATCTAATATTATTTTAGTTACTAATCTAGTTTTTCTACACCCATATATTCCTTCCAATATTGCTATCACTTCTTCCGCATTAAAAGTACTAGTGCTGTAGTATACATTCATGCCTTTACTCCATCTTCCGATCTCCGCCAATTTCGATATGATACCATTAACGAAAACAAAGTCAAAGAGAAAAAGTAACAAACCTATTGATAATACCATTATCACTTCAAATGACGAAACATAGGTTATCAAAATGCAAATCACTGCAGCTACAATGGAATTAAATGGCCATAACAGTATCTTCGGAAATGATAATTTATCAAGAAACATTGATAAAAGAAGTTTCGCAAACAGCTCTGCTCCACCATTTACGCCTAATACCACAGTGCCTTGCTCAAGCGTTAATCCAGCAGATTTGGTCACAAAGTCAATCTTAGAAAACAAAAAAAAATGTCTTAACAATTATAAACATTATGATGAACATTATTAATGTTGAAAGTAATTGTTATTGTTGTGATGGTATAGACAATAACTGAATTTGCGTCATGAGAAACATGTTGTATATAGGTGTATAATTTTGCCCTACCTAACGTAGAAAAAAAAATTGCAAGTTATTCTCGGGTGGGACTCGAACCCATGATCTTAGTACAAATTGCGATTTTTTTCGCAATTGTTTTCAAACGTATTGAGTATTCAGTACAATTCCACGTCAGGTAGGGCAGAACTACACCTATACATTATTAATGTTAATAATATTATTATAACAGTTAAAATATAATAATAATTTATAACCATTTTTATTATCATTATTATCATAAATGTTATAATGGTAATAATGATAGTAATAACGATTATAATGATGATGATGATGATGATGGTAACAAATACAAAGGCTTTCTTCAGCATAATCTGTATGTCTAGGCTTCGTTCGTAAAGCCGTCCGTACAACATTGGTTTAAGGCTAGTCGCGTGCGTTCGGCTTAACATAGCTTATAAAAAATCGGTTTCAATGGAGGTGAATGACGTGGAATTTAAAATCATGACGCCATAATTGAATTATTATATTGTTATTACCATTATCATTATTATTTTAAAATATTATTATATTTATGATTGGCCAAAACTTACAAGATTTATAACCGTAAAACCTACAGCACAGCTCTGTACTAACAACGTAATTGCATATAGCCACATTTCTGGAAAGCGAAGGACATCCCGTTGTGAGACATTTGAAGTTGTTTCATGTTCTTTGTTATCAAGTTCAATTTCTTGTTGTTTTTTGGCATTTTCCGGATTTCTGTCTGGTGTTATGCGAAGTAAAGGTGCAATGATGAAACACACAGTATATATTAAACCTGCGCATATTCTGTAGGTCCAACGCCATCCGACTCGAACAATAACTAATCCTAAAACTGGGCTCAGTGTTAGAAGTCCTAAAGCAAAGAAAGATAGTTTTTTGCATCAATATTGCTAACCTGTCGATTTTTTTAAAAATTTTTATTTATCAGTCGAAGAAACAGAAATATTTATCAATTATTAATATTATTATTTTCAATACCTTAA